CAACCAATTTTTCTTAACTTCATGACTACTGTATCCAACATATTTTCAAAACTATTGTTTACCATGTTACCAGCTGCATGAATACTTGAAACTTTGAAAATAATCTTTTTCTAATATAACAATTAATGTCCGATGGCCCATTGACTTGAAAAAATATTCTATACTTATGAAATTGACAGAGGGTACTCGACACTCCCCTATATTTCTTAAATTACCAGTTTAACTTGACTTTATTTTCACGAATGACTGAATTTCAGAAGGGGTGAAGCACATTTTTGGCCCCCTCAACTAAAATTCAGAGTAAAATAAAGTTTTTGATTTCGAAAATAGAGAAAAAGTTTTTTTTCTTCCTAAAATTACCAATTTAAGTTGACTTTATTTTCCTGAATGAAACTTCAGAAGGGGTGAAACACATTATTCTCCCCCTCAATTAAATTTCAGAAGAAAATAAGGTTTTCAATTTCAAAAATAACTTCGAAATTAAAAAAAAAGTTTTTTTTTAATTAAAAAATTAATAATTTAACTTGATATTTTTTATATTCATGAATGTCTAAATTGCAGAAAGAGCGAATCATATTATTCCCTTCCTTACTTTAATTTCAGAGGAAAATAAATTTTCATCTTGGAAAAAAAAAAAAGAGTTTTTCTTTCTTTTTTTTCTTTCAAAAATTACCAATTTAGCTTGAATTACTAATTTATTTTACGAATGACTGAATCTTAGTGGTGGTGAACCACTTTAGAAAAATATAAAGTTTTCTGTTTGAAAAATAGCTTCAAAGTTGAAAAAATAGCATTTTTTTCTAAAATTTTGCAAATAGAGTTGTCTAACAACAGGATTACATGTGACGTACCTCTTGTCTCTTTGTTTCTTATACGCATGCGCTGCATCTTAATTCAAATGACGCTCTACTAAATCTCAGTATGTTGCTAATCCTGTAAGTTGTTTTTTTGAAATAGCATATCGCACCGAGCAGTTTCCCGTTCCCGTGTTAGTTACGTATTCGAAGACCTGAACTTCTTTTCCGTTCTATATTCTTCGTTTTAGGTGCTATGCAATCGAAATGATTGCGACAGAAAAATGCCCCCTATCAGTGTGAACTCAAAAGAGGAGATGAAACCTGTCCATTTGATTTTTATGATTTAAACAATTAAAAAAAAACATAACTAGTTACGATGCAGCAAATAAATTGACTTTTTTAATTTTAACCTAGAGCAGTGTTTCCTATACTTATGACTTTTGTGTACCCTTTACAAAAAAATGAATAAATTTTTTACTGTAAAAAAAATTGCATTAAAAGTTAATTAACAACTAGCTGTTGAGACCACTAATTATTAACTGTTAACCCTTTAATGGGCCCTTTATTTCTAGTAAAGGTAAATTAAAGTATTTTTGGAATTGAAATTGTTTTAAGAACAGTAATTGATATTAAAAAAAAAAACTCATTTAGTTTATAAAAATGCCATTTTTTTGGTGGTAAATATATTTAACATGACCTATTAGGAACTTACTGACTTTTATTTTTCTTTATTTATAAAATAAATTCCTTAAATGCTACAAACTTCAAAAGGAATTATATATTTCATAACTTTTATACGTTTTTTAAAAGTGACAAATGGTTACCAATTTTATTCAAACTCACTTCAAGAAAGTTGTTGTTGTTCATTTACGTCGCACTAGAGCTGCACAATGGGCTATTGGCGACGGTCTGGGAAACATCCCTGAGGATGATCCGAAGACATGCCATCACAATTTTGATCCTCTGCGGTGGGGATGGCACCCCCGCTTTGCTCACTTCAAGAAAGCTGAAGTTAGTGAAAAATGGAAACCTAAATTTTTTTTTTCCCCCAATGGCAGGCACTGAATTTGAATCTTTTGCCTATACTATGCCAGAATTGTTGCTCATTTCGCATTACCCAGTGGGCACCTGTGAACCAAAGTCACGGAGGCGAGCAACATTGCCCACGCCACACTGCCACAAACCCGTTTATAGGGTGGGCCACATTCACACAATAGAGGACAGCACAAAGAGAAAGAGAGAAACATCCATGCCCAGAGCGGGATTCGAACCCGCAGCCTATGGCTTCGCAGTCAGGCACGCTAACCGCTCGGCCACCTGGCCGGCGGAAACCTAAATTAAAAGTGGTAAGTAAACTTACCACGACCTTAAAAAGGGTTAACTCTGTAAAAAATAGCCAATAGAAAAATACGTAATCGTAATTTTTTATGGCTAGCTTTGTTTTTAAAAAACAAAATTTGAAAATTTTCGTTTGTTGTTAGATATTTCGCATAAGAACGCGTACCCCCACTAAACTATTCTCGTACCCCTGGGGGTACGCGTACCACACTTTGGGAAACACTCACCTAGAGTATCGAAGTATGTAATAGTTATCTAAGAGATTTATTTATATATGATCTAATTTTATTCTCATTACAGTTTAATTTAAAATAAATTTCGTAAAATTATTTCTGAATTTTAAAAATTGTATTTTTTTTCAATTGCCGGAGAATAAAAATTCATTAAAATAAACAAAACTGGTTATGAGAGTATATATTTTAAAAGATAGCACTGATAGATCTTTTTCAAAGGTGTAATTTTTAAAAATCACGTTTGATAATTGTACTAAAAATGAGAAATAAATGTTAATTTTATCACCAAATTGATAAAAGTGGAATTTTAAATGGTGATAGAAGTTCGCTGTGACATTTTGCCCTTGAGTATTTTTAATAGGCATGCAATTTTTTTTCATTTATTTCTTCATTTTTTGTTCACTGAACAAACATGATTCTTAAAGTATATATAAGTTCTTTACTTTCTTATTTTTTGGCATTTTAGTTTTGCGTCCTCTGGTTTGTTTAAACCGAAAAATAGTCAAAATTTCGATTGGCTATAAATCCTACTTGCAATGGTCACAAAACGCTTGAAACTTGCTTTGCCATCCTTCATGGAAGACTAGTTAAAATTTGAGCTCTTTAACTAGTCGAAAGGTTGTCAAAATTTTGATTGCAAGATTTTTCTTTTCCTTTTTGTTGATTAATAGTAACCCATTTTTGCGTTTGAATTCTAGATTTTATTTTCTGTTATGTAAAAAATATGTGTCAAATATAAATCCTGAAATTAAAAATGAATGCATTTATAATTTATTTACTTTTTTGTGTGGATATTCATTCCTTAAGAGTAAAAGAAAAAGACTTTTCTCTAAAGCAAGCACTAACTGGCTTGCAACGTTATAATGAATGCCAATGTTTCTCTAAATTTTTAGTCCCGTGACAAGAACTTTAAATATTGTAGGAATCAAGGAATCTATAACTTCTACGTCGGTAAATATTGTATTTGTGTTCCTGAAGTTCTTAGAAAACTAAAAAGTGGTAACGAAACTGAGACGAAGTTCGATAATTGAATATTTGTTAGATTTAATTGTTTAAAGAAATTATGTTTGTGTGAGAATGATGCTCCACCAAACCTCTAAACGTTAAAATGATATTTTATAAAAGAAAATTTCTACTAGAGTTAACGTAACTTTACTACTTTGGTGACCTGCCTACTACAACTCAACTCTGCCTGTCCGGTATCCCCTAGCAACGAGGTACTTTTCCATTTTTATTCTTCTTTTGTATACATACCTATATTAACGATCTGCTTTTGTTATCGTTGTTTCTTGTTCAGCTATACTTTATTTATTATTATTCAAAACCAAAACTGTTTATACAAATTTTATTAAAATGAAGCGTGCCATATTATTTCTCTAAAAATAGCTCCCCAAAATTGAGTCGACTATACTTTATTTATTATTATTCAAAACCAAAACTGTTTATACAAATTTTATTAAAGTAAAGCGTGCCCAAATTATTTTTTTAAAAATAGCTCCCCAAATTGAATCGAAATAGCATGTTTCATATACTATTTAATTAATGTTTAATAAACGTAGTGGTAGTTACGACGCAATACTCCCCCTCTAGAATTTTATCGGGGGTAGAATCCAATTAACAATTAATGGATATAACTAGTTGCCGTATTTGCAAAAGACCGGGAGAGCTGTGTTTAAGTTCACCGGATTTTAAGCACTTATGGTGAGAGCTAGCTGTATGAAGTTCTCCGAGTTTCAAGCATTTGTCGCGAGAGCCGTATTAAGTTCACAATTGTGTGTATGGTCTCTCCTGTGCTGCTATTAGCAGTCCAAGGTGTGCAAAATTCCGTTGTGTATAATTGAGGCTGAAACGCAACAGCACAGGAAGAGCGATGACGCAGTCATAAATAGCAAGTCAACTGTTCAATGCGGAACATTGATCGAAGTGGGCGTTACTTTCAATGTAGGCGAGTTCATATTACGTCCGCAGGTCGTCGCTGTGGGCAAAGGTAGACAATGCCAACCTTCTTCAAAAGGTATTCTCCAGATTTAGAGGTAGTTACGACACAACTACAACTAAATGACTGTTTTGATCTGTAGCCCCACACTTATGTGTGTGTAATAAATAAATACAAAAAAACACGAAGAAAACTAAGTTAAATTAGTAATTAAACGAAGAATTTTTGAGTGCTCCTCACACTATTGTATTGATATATTTTCTCACACTATTGTATTGATATATTTTGCTTTGGCTATATTGATACAATATTAGAAAGCACTCTTTTTTGTGGATATAATCGTGTGAGCTGATGAAAAGATTATATCCCTTTTTCTTCTTTTTTAAAAAATTTTTTGTCCTTTTTTTCGGAATTTCCCCCCCGGTTTTTTGTTATTTTTATTCTTATTATTTTTCTTTTCTCCCCCTTTTTTCATTGTTCTGTAATTTTTGCCTTGTTGTTTTCTCAAACATTTTGAACTTTTATATATATATATATATTGTTATATATATGTATATATATATGAATGAATGTGTGAAAAAAATAATTGTTACATTCACAATGAAATCAGTTGAGCGGGGCTTTGACAGTAACAACTCTGTTTTGATCGAACATCATTTTATTTTTTTAGTCTTGTTCAAACGAAGCAAAAAGTAGTTAGTAAGTAGTCATTCTTTCACGGGGTGCTCTCAATCTTCTGGAGGGCTTCCTTTGAGCTGGATGAATAGTACTTTTCATGTCTGTCACTTTTAAGAATACCATGGATAGCATCTCCAAGAGTTCACAGAAAGCCAGCACTGAAAATCCCAGCCAGAGGCTGAGGTAACCACCTAGATGACTGAATACTTCCACCAGCTGTAACAGGAAAATCATTATTGGTTGGGAGTTACGCCTATAATTACTATTAATTTATTATATTTAATATTAATTAACAAATATTAATCGAGTTAATAAATATCAAGGTAGGAAGGCCTGAAACATAGAGGAGTCGACACTTATTCTCACTATGCGAACCTTAATGTACACTGAACACTTTGAATACTCGCCACATGATGGAGCTACTTACTGTTAGATATACAAGCCAATAGAACAAATAGTCCATAGAGTTTTCATGTATGAAAAGTACTTCTTTTGACACGTATTTATGCATTCATTTTAAATTGCTATTCAGGGACTATTTTCTGCAAGGTATATTTTCCAATGTAATGTTTCTAAACTGAATGGCGATCAGACTAATAGTTTAGAAGAGTTTTGCGGACAAAAAGAACAATTTTGCGCTTATTTACACATCTTACATTGCTATACAAACAAGTGAGGTATTTTTTATTATGTACTTTTTCTCATTCAGACCAAACACGAATTAATAGGGCTACTATTTCGCAACTGGAAATTATTTATTTATTTGTTTAAAATGTATTATTTTTAAATGCACTTATTATGTGGAAAATCCTTAAAACTTCAAAGCTGTTTATCCTATCATTTTATTTCCTTCAATTCAGTGTAAAAAAATTCATCAAGAAACGTACCTCAAATGTTCAGACAGCTTCTAGAGAGCAAAGTAAAAAGTTAACTAAGTTGTATCCCAGCGAAAACTGGTCGAAACGAATTCCGCACCGACCACAGTGCTGACGTAAAATATCTTCAGTGGAGAACGGATCATGGGTTAGAGTCTACTTGCCGTCAGGCTAACAGTGGGAAATTTTCCTCTCCATGAAACTCAGTTGCGGGTTAGTTCCATCAAAAAAGTCCTCCACGAAGGCAAGTTTCTTCCAATAATTGGAGTTCCCTTGTCTTCTGGATTGGGTTCAAAATTAAAAGGATACGGAAACTCAAAAATTGGGGGACAATTTTTTAAAGACGGTTGTAAAATAAAATCCTACAGGCTAGTCTGATTGTCAATACATCGGAAGTAACGCCTCACTAGCCTAGAGTGATGTTTAGAAAAAAAAATCAATTTTTTTGCTCGGAAGCGTTCAGAGAGTTCTCAAGAACGATAAAGCATTTTGTCAATAAAAAAAAAATTGGGGAATTAATTTTTTAGAAGAAACACCCCTTTTTTAGTATGATTAGTGAAACTATAACATTGTGCGTAGTGAAATTATTCAACAAAAATAAGCACCTTTTAAGCACTCAAAAAATATTTTAAACCACTTTAAAAAGAATATATCGTTTTTGACAATCGACGGTTTTATCTTGTTTTAACCGTGATGCAAAAAAAAAAAAAACCTTTTGGCATTGTTTTTGACAACTGCCAAAAATCATGAAAAACAAATGGCGTTTTCCTGCGCTATGGACTGACTATACGCCGAAATAGATTGGGGTTGAATTAATTATGAAAACGTTGAATAGAACAATGTGAACTGTCTTTTTGCATAATTCGAAGCGAAAATCATCATAGTAAAGGGAAAATTAAGCACTTTTTAAAAAGACCCAACGAACAAAGCACCTTTAAGGGTTTTTAAAAGACGAAAATCAAAATAAGCACCTTTTAAAAACGTTACACACCCTGTATAATAATACTCCATCACGCAGCAATCAAATAAATCGAGTCTTGCTATTTTCTAACGTTAAAAAGAAAAATTATGTATCAGCTTCCTGATAAATTATACTTACTTTTATAAGTGGACTTACGTAATTAAAATAACTATTTAAAATTTAAACCTTCGGGAATAATTGCTAAATGATAGTGTTAAATTAAATATTTGCAGCAAAAAGGGCATACTACACCGGGTAGTGCCGCATGTAGGAGGCGTCAGTATTCAGCAACAGTAAGCCCCTCCCACTAACAGGCGAGAATTTAGGAGAATGAGCCGAATATACCCGTACGCGCCGAGCAGCTGGAAGTCCCCAGGAGTTCGGCGCATCAGAGAGCATGAACCTCAATCGCACTCAATAAAGTGCGCGAGAGAGTTCGATATAGAAAGAGAGAATCGACACTGTTCTGACCAGATCGGCTAAACTGAGAGCGATCATGATCGGATGTGCCTGAAACCTTCGCCTCCAATCAAGGGATGCTCGGAAGATGATATATATATCTTTAAATAATGATGAAAAACTTTTAGTGGTAGATGTAGAGTTTCCTTCTTTACATTAAAGTGAAAAGGGGCTGTGTCTTAACTTGTTTCAAATTTCTTTCTCTTTTTATTTAATGTTGACTAATAAATGGGGTACACATTTTTATCAGATTATAAAATTCTTTTATTCTGGTATAAATGGGGTACATTATAGTTTGTATCCAGGAAAAGAGGACTCTGGACTCATTTATATTTTTTCTCATATTTGCAGCGAAAAATCAACTCCGACCATGGGTATCGCAGTTGTCCAGGGCCGGATTAAGTCGTACACGGGGCCCTAGGCCATTCAAATTTTTGGGGCTCTTAGATTAAATGTTTTTTTCTCGTATATTTTTTATTTATTCAAATATAAAAGTATTTATCTATCTTTTCATTTAAGAAAGCATATTTAAAGTAAAAATAAATAATAATAATAAATTAAAAACAACTTTACTACTCTGAAATATTGAAGGGAACTGATCGACGTCCATGATGCGTCATCTTACGTCATGATGAGCAAAAACTTTTCATTTTTATTTTTGATGATCACTTTTAAACCAGAATTGAACTATGCTCTTACAATTTTACATAAATATATAAAATGAAAAAAAAAATGATTAAAAGAATAAAAAAATTTACCTCATACTTCGGTTGGTGTTGATACATTGTTATTTCCATGGTTCTCAAATACAGTTTAATTCGAACTAAATTTTTTCTGAAAAAGATCCAAGTTAAAAATAATTAGAGAGGGAGATGAGAACAAGGATTCCTGGTTATTTATCTGCCTTTACAAATAGCAAAAAAAAATAATAATAATAATCGTTTTTTCAGAAAAACACATTATTTGCAACAAAACTAAATTTTCCAGCTGAAGCAAATTTTGAATATATATATATATATATAAAAGTTCAAAATGAAGATAAAACAAAGGAAAATTACATAGACATATGAANTGAAGATAAAACAAAGGAAAATTATAGACATATGAAACAACGGGGGGAAAGAAAAAATAACAAACAACTGGAGAAAATAAAGGATGAAATTATTTTTAAAAATCCGGAAAATAAAAGATATAATCTTTTCATCAGTCCACACGATTATATCCGCAAAAAAGAGTGCTTTCTGATATTGTATCAATATAGCCAAAGCAAAATATATTAATACAATAGTGTGAGGAGCACTCACACTACTGTATTAATATATTTTGCTCCTCTCCTCTGCATTCCTCTAGTTACGCTCAATTTGCGCTTTTGTTTTCATATTATGCAATCTTGTTTGGAAAATATTTTTTAAATCATTCCTGAAAAATTTCCCGTTCATGTAAGTACATTTGATTTCGCTACTCGCTTTATAGTTTTTGTTTTATTCTGTTTTTTCTTTTATTTTATTTTCTGTTTTTATGTGTTATTTTTACTTATTGTGCTCTATTTTATTTGCTGTAATTTCTGTAAAAAAAAATTTTTTTTTTTGAGTGCTCCTCACACTATTGTATTAATATATTTTGCTTTGGCTATAATGATACAATATCAGAAAGCACTCTTTTTTGCGGATATAATCGTGTGGGCTGATGAAATGATTATATCTTTTATTTTCCGGATTTTTTAAAAAAATTGTATCCTTTTTTTATTTTTCCAGTTGTTTGTTATTTTTTTTTATTATTTTTTTTCTCCCCCCCCCCCTTTTTTCATATGTCTGTAATTTTCCTTTGTTTTATCTTCATTTTGAATATATATATATAATATATTCAATATATTTTGAATATATATATATATGTAACATAAAAAGCTTTCAATTAATCTTTTTATGTTATTACTTTTCCGTAAATCCCTTTTCTTTCTTTTATTATTCTAATCGAAACATTTTCTCACACTTTTGAATTCACATCATGTCCTTTAATCTATTTTTTGCTCAAGTATGTATTCATTAAAAGTAAGACATTTTTACCTTTTCTCTTTGTGGGAATCACGCGAGCTATTTGATAAACCAATTACGATTACTGAGATTTCCCTTATTCCTTAAAATGAAACATTTCACGGATTTACTTTGCAAGATTTTTCCTAACTTAAAAGGAAGAACACAATATTTCACGACCACACTTTTACAGCTGTTCTCTGTCTAGTAATTAATAAATACATTTTTGAACCCTCCTTCCCTGCCTAAGACCTGTTTTAATCCTTCCACTCGGCAACGACGTTACACACACACACGCACGCGCGCACACACACACACACACACACACACACACACACACACACACACACACATATATATGTTAATTCAAAGCATAAGATTAATCTATTGGAAACCGCAAAACAGCAAGTACGTGAGAAAGAAACAAGCAATTGGGTAAAAACTGCTCAATACAGCAGAATGAACATGGAGCCGCGAAGTGGTGAGTTCTTAAAAGTAGAGACAGACTGTTCGTCCAAAACAACTTATTGATTATACAATATAGTGTATACTACAATAAAATATCGAGATCAAGTTGTTTAAATCAAATTGTTAAAATCATATCTACCTCTAATAATACTCACCGAATTTCAGTTAAATTTTTATTCAGCAAAGATGGGACGTTAAAAACCTAGAGGATAAAGAGAAAAAGTTATTGGTTATTGAAAAACAATAGGGAGATTTCGCAAATTTACGTTAGCTTTCGTACGCTCCCTGTACGTAAGATTTCAAGTTATTGCGCATGCGCCCGTGAAAAAATATCGAACTCATATAAGTGAAAATAAGAGATGCTGCAAAAAATCCGCAAGTTAAAAGGTTAAAGAAGTGGGATATTATTTTAATTTTGACCACAAAATCAAAACAAGCATTTACAATGGATGTATACAATTTCTTTAAAGCTGTGTGGCATACGATAAAGCAACTGCTCTACGTAATTTTGCTCTACGTAAACTGCGGGTGTGAGAGATTACAGATTTTGATGAATTCAGCAATAAAGAATGCAGCTCATTATTAATATTTAAAAAATATATATATTATTGAACTTCTATTGATTATCTAACTACTTTTAACTAAATTGCATAGTTAAAATAAATATTATTTGTAATTTTGAGACAGCGAGACTTTTATTTTATTTTAGTATAAAGCGTCAAACAATATAACACTTTCTGTATTTTTTCACTTAATTGCTGAAAAAGTAAGAAAAAATTATTGTAAATAGAAGAAATACGATCTGTTTTAAAGAGAACATTATTCAAATCTAAAGAAACTGTATTTTTATTTTTTTAAGCAGTTAATTCAATACTTAGTTTTGCTTTTATACATTAAAAATATCAATTAAACTATAAATTAAAATTAAAATTTTATCTCATTTTAATATCAATCTGGTTTCAACAAATATTTTTGTTATTAATTTTATAAACTATGTAATTTTCTGATATAAAATTAATAACAAAGCTGTTAAATCTCAAAAATAAATAATCTGATATAAAATAAATTTTTTTTATTGATAGATTAAATAGTTTTTTATATTTAATGCAAGTGGTTTTTTGATTTAGTATATAGTATTTATTTAATTAACAGTAAATATTTATTAGACATTAAAAGGCTATTTTTTTTCTAAACCTAATTTGGATTTTTATGTACTATGATCAATTTTTTATTCTTCAAGGTACTCAATTGCGACTTAGTTTATACTCAGTAGCAAGTTAAGAAACAAGTTGGTTCAAAATCACAAGGCTACGGAGTTGAACATTAGTATTATAACCGTCGTTGAACAGCCGATCCAATTTTTGGGTTTACGACTGCTAATGTTCCACTCCGTAGCCATGTAACTTTGAACCTAATCCAGAAGACAAGGGAACTTCTGGATTAGTACCCCCAGAGGTCATGATTTGTTAAGGGAACTTGGAGGACTTCGTGACCCGATAGATTTAACGTGCACTAGTCACCATTTACTACACGTGGAATCTTCGGCTTGCGGGAATCGAACCCACGATCTCTTGGACATGCGCCCAGTGCCCTTCCAACCAGGCTATCCTAGCCTTTGAACATTAGTAGCCGTAAACCCAAAATTAGGTCGGCTATTCAACGACCGATATAAAATATAAAATTAAATAAAATGTAATTGCTAGTGATTTTGGGATAGTAAAATTTTACATATGGTTCGATTTAGGCAACATATGCATTAACATCAAACCAGTTTGTTCAAGTTTAGGGTTCTTCAAGTAAAATAAAACTGTTGTTCTAGAACAGTGGGTTTCCAACTAGCGGCCCGCGAACTAAAATATCTTCGTTACTGCGAAATTTAACATACCAACGGTTCAAAAATAATTATTTTTCAAGTTTTGCACCCAAGAAAATATTTAATCAAATAAAAAAATAATCGTGTATGTTGCTCTTTTTTATTTCGTTTTTTTTTTTTTTTTTTTTTTTTTTTTTTTGTATTTTGTGATTATAATTTAGCATGTGCGTATCTGACATTAATATTTAATGTTCCGTCAAACATAAAAGAATCCTATATAAAATTTTGAAAAAGTTGCGGCCCGTCATTTGACTGGTGTTCTAAAATTGTGGTCCCGGCCACCTGTAAGCTGGAAACCCCTGTTCTTTAAAGAAAACAATTTTAATTAATAATTTTTTTAAAAAAAACTATAAAAATGTAATTAATGAAATCATTTTTACCTGTTTTTTTCTGGGCCAAACTGTGGAATCTACTGAGGATTCAAAATTTTTTCTCCTAAAAATTTAAATATATATATANGAAGAAAAGATTATATCTTTTTCTTCCGGCTTTTTTTCCGGTTTTTTAATTAACATTTTTTTTTTAATAAACTGTTGTTTGTTATTTTTTATTTATTATTTCCCACCCCCCTTTTTTTATATGTCTATAATTTTTCTTTGTTTTATTCTTCATTTTGAACTTATATATATATATATATCACAATGTATTTAAATATTTCAAAAGTTTAGAAATTTGTCTGTTTTTGCATTTACTCAGTTTTTGCAACAAAAAAAAAGAAAGAAGAAAAAACTCACTCGCATGGCACTCTGCACAAAGTACGGCAATAATCAGTCGTGTTCTTTTCAACGTCTTCCGCACAAAATGCTGCAATAACACCAGCAATGAGTAGAGCTCTACTAGCACATTAAGAGGAAATACCCACAGTGAAATTTTAAAAAAATATATATATATAAAAAATAAGTAAAGGAAAAAAATATATCGTTTTGATGCGTGAATCTTAATCGAAATTCCATCGTTAAAGTATCACCGTTCGACTTTTTTTATAAATTATCTAAAATTTAACACAGGATTCCGAGTATTTTACATAAACACAGACATTGTTTTAATGTCAACACTTTTTTGAAACAACGTATAGAACTTTTGCAATTTATTTTTTTCTGAGGTGAAATTTGAAGGCAAAGAAAGATAATACGACATTGTGAGCCAAACATTTTTTTTTTAAAACCGTACAAACTATAGAAAAAATAATTAAATTAAAAGATGTTTAATGTTCTAGATTCTTATTAAAAAATTTATTATATTTGTTAAAAAAAATCTATCTATTTACCAAAATTCAAGTGCTTGTGTGAATTTAAGCGGCATGATATACTCAAAACAATTACCAAGTTTTGAAGTCGAGATATCTTAAACGAAAAATTTGTATCGAAAAAAAAAACTGATTTAAATAAAACTGATTAAAACTTTTAATAAATAACTTTAAATAAAATACTTAAGTTTGTAGACTATTTGAAAATAGACATTTTTTCAGTATTTTTGCTGTATCACAAGAAGTTTTTGCTTGAGTTGGTGCCAAATAATAAAACAACATATCCCACCATTTTTTTTATTTAAAAAAAAAATTAAAATTTTATATCATCTATGAAATTATGAGCAGTGTTTCATAAAGTGTTTTATAGCACTTAAACAAACTAAGTTTACCTTAATTGCTATATCACTACGGCCGTAAGTATTGTTAGGAACAACGCATAAATGGAAGTAGGGAAATTTATTTACGGCTCGGCTATTTTTAGTTTGTAAGCTTGCTTTTTTTTGGTTGAAAAATAAGAAAGGAACAGGAATATCTGGTCTAAGAAAGATAACATTCGATAGAAACAGTGTTTAAATTTAATCTTTCAATAGATTAGTTATAGATAATTTTTAAATTCTCATTTGCTATATTTTTTTTTAAATGGTGACTTTTAATGTGCACAAGGAATTTTTAAAATAAAAGGATGATCATCGTTAAGAGACCAATAAGTCAAGATAGAACCGAAAAACAAAAATTGAAAATACAAGGTGATATTTTGGTGTTTTATTGATAACACTCACCTTTCTTGCCTTCACAGGGAGAGTCTTCATAGACGAGCGTCAAATTGGAAGAGACGCATCTGCAGGCTTTTAACTGAAGCATCCTGGAGCATTCTTGGGTGCACATCTTATAAATATTTACAATATAAATTAGTCAAATATCAAAAGTATTCGCCAATTTTCGAAAGTTTTCGCCAAATGCAAATCTTAACAGTTTTTTTACAATAAATTTTTTTTCCTAAAGAACTATTTTACGGTAGATTGTTTTAGGCTTATATTATATGGACCCAATTCTAATCGGTTACGCCACAACATTTCAAGTCATGGGTTGCAAAGCATCATTATGCCTGCCCTCTTCTCTTACAATGGTCTGAATTGGCTTTTTCCACTGATATACTTTTCATCAAATCTCACAACAACAAAACAAAAAAATTCTACTTCAGTATACTAAATTCCCCTCCTTGACAGTAAGTATGAATAAGTTAATCATAAAAGGGACATAAAAATAATTTAAATTCTATGCGAAAACATTGAAAATGCACGCAGGTGGAAATAAAAAACTCGGTCTTGATAACAAGCAACATGAAAAAAGTTCTAAAATTATCGTCTGCTTTTCTCTTATTTTTTTTTATCATGCTGTGTTGTTTTTCTATATTTATATTTTAAGACTCTGCCAAATCATTGTATGGGAATATAGTGTTGAAAGTTATTCTAATCGAAAAGTGTGCGGACACGAAAAATCTGGAACAACACGCATTTTTCCAATTAATAGAAAGATTTCCCGTAGCAGTTCACAAGAGGCTTAGTAAAACTAAATCTTTCATTTCACGAAGTCATTTTGAAAGATTTCACACATTCTTTCTTTGAATTTTAATAAATTTTTTGGTAGCTAAGGATCTGTTTACGCTGTTTGGCGAAAAGAAAACCACCATTGGACCAGTCGTAGTAAAACATTAGTAGAGTGCGTTGGAGAGGAAATGCATTTAGCAAGAAGCAATCGACGACAAATACAGAAAGCTTCTCTCGTAACAGCAAATTGAAATGCCTAGATAGCGAACAGTACGCCGAAAACTGTTTAATTGAGTGTTAGAGTAGTCTAGATTTCGCTAATTAGAAATTTGCAAACAAGAAGTCATATAAAAGCATAGTCTTTATTTGCTATTGACAACAGATAAATATTTGAAAGTTTATTATCTCAAATTCACTAAAATGTGGCTTAGAATCTTAATACAGTCAGCTCTTCAAATGTTTTTAATGTTTGAAGAGCTCGCAAAACATAACCCCATATGTAATCAAAAGAAATAACTTCTACGTATTCACAACAAACATACAAATAAATTTTAATAATTAAAAGGCGTTCGCTCGTCCTAAAGGTTTCCGGAAACAGCCAAAATGCATTTTTACATTTTTCTCACATTTCACCGCTTTTTTTCTTCATTTTGTTAAACTTCAGAAACAGTGAAAAAGGTCCCCTTATAATTTTAACAGAGTTTTTTAATATGTCAATCTGAAGAAAGAAAAAAACAACATAATATTTTTTATATGGTTTTAACTGCTGTCTTTAATATTACCTTTGGCGTGAGAACACCTTTGTTTCTTCTGGCCCAAGGCATAGTGCTATATTTTGTACAGTTTGTTTGATATGGCAATGGAAGTAACTCTGTAGTTGTCTGTAAAAAAAAAAAAGGAAGGTTCAAAATTAAAATAATAACTTATATTTGGAGAAGATTAATAGAAAGCAGTGTCTGTTAACATATGGTTTGTTGACTGAATGTAAACAATAACAAGCTTCCTAAAACCGTAAGAAATTTTGAAAACTTTTGGTGTATCCCTCCGCTTACGAGGCGATGAGTAAACAGGCTTAACATTCTAGGAAGTTTTATTGTTGTGATTTATGTTTTTTAACCCTAATTTAACCGTTCATAAGAGTTTTCTGTAATTTATAAAGTCTAACAGGCCGTGAGGCTGAAACAAACTTAACGAAATTAATACCACAGCCATAATAAAGTGCAAGGTTAGTCATGTTTTGAGTTTTATCCCTTATTTGGCTATATTCATGTAAAATAGCACTGTTTGTTACTTTTTGTATAGAATCATAGCAAGTTTGGGGAGTTTTCCGAATTCATTTGTTATCTGTTTCGTTGAAAGTTGGATTGAAAGAACGCGTTATATTTATAAACACTACAAGTATAATAATATTGGATGGTGTGTTTTTTCAATCTTAGGCGTAAAAATCAGTCGGAAGTAGTAACCCGGAAGACTAACGACGAATCTTAAGCCCATCTGCGCTTAGCTTTAACACTGCACGATCAACCATCTATATTTAATAATAATAATCTTTACATCTACAGACATAAACATGAAACTTGCTTCTTGCTTGTGATTTTAAAAGAAATAATTTGACTTTTAAAGGTGCTTCATTAAAATGCTTCATTTTAAAGGTGCAAGAAAGGAAAAGTAATTTCTCATACATATTATTCTAGTAGCAATATGACTTTATTTACATCACACTATAGCTGCACTAAGGACTATTGGCGACGGTCTCAGAACATACCATCACAATTTCGGTCCTCTGCAGAGGGGTTGGTTCTTCCGCTTTGGTAGTCCGTTGATCTACGCAAGTCAAGCATTTTACTGTAGAACAGTTAGTTTAACAAGAACCTATAAGTGCTCATTCATCCGCTCACTGCCCGCTGCTACAGATGATTGATCTACTAGTCTTATGATCAATCAACTGTGGGATACATAATTCTAAAACGAACTATTGTTAACTGGAATCCATCCAATGGTTTAAATTCAGTATCTACTTTTTAGCACTTTTTTTAGATACATATTTTTTAATATTTATTTTTTTAGTAATTTTTGATATACATGTATGTACTCATAAAGAAATTTTAATGTTTGCTGACTTCCACAACTAATAAAAACTTAAAAGGGAATACATAGAGGAATAAAGTTTAATATGTTAACAAAAAAAAAGAAGCTTATGTTAATTAAAAAAAGATTGTATAATTGAAAAATTGTCGTGTGTTAAGAAAAAAAAGTTACATTTCTGCAAGTTATACGAATACAAATTTTATCTAATTTGAATAGAATTAAAACAACTCTTTCCAAAAGCTAGTTTGTTTTCTTTTAATTAACACTGCCCAGATTAACCAACACCGAGCTACGAAACTATCTATCAAATCTTCTTAACTTATTAGAGTTGCATAAACTGTATTCAGGCAGTTTCGATGGATAACGTAGAATAAAATTGCTGCTCAGTCACTGGCTTTCATGATCAGTCTATAATTTAAAATATATATTATTTTAAACGTCCGTTTTGCAATAAACAAAGGGAACAATTTAGTTACTGAATGGATGTTAAAAAAAGGAAAGGTGTTTATACTTTTCTCATGCCGACACTATAAAAATGACCAGCTCTGGCTTTCACAGCTTCAGATCCAAAATCCGGATAAAACCTCGGATCGTGGACGTATATCAAAACAGAGGGAGTCTTATGATCATCTAGATATTCTTCAGTTTGAATATTTAAATCCAGTATTAGTTCTGAAAAAAAAAATCACAGAATTATGTCAATTTCAAAGACGTCAATATAAATGGTTTGCCTACAATTTTTTCAATAAAAACTGTAAAAAGACAGCACATTATCAATTACGAGCACCAACCGTTCTTGTTGAGGCAAATGATACACTTCGATAAAATCATTGAAGGAAAGCTATGCTTTGGAGCTTTGAATTCATAATTAAATGAATTAAATCTGAAAGTAAAATGTTCGACACCGGCCCATAATCTAAATCCAAAGATGAAAGAACTATAATTGGAAATAATATAACACTATTTAAACTAACATCAAAGAAATAACAGTTGATGATGTTGTTCATTTTCTGCCCTCAATGTGTTGGAAAGTTTTTGTTGACAACTATTAAAATTGAAAGACTGTTGTCAACATTTCAGGACGTCTGGTCAGTTTGCTTCGTGTGGAGGATAAAATTTATGTGCAAAATCACCCATCTTACTTGTCAATAAACCAGTCCTTATGGATGAATTATTTCCTGTCAGCCAAGAGAAATATTTCTGAATAAGGTTAGAAAACGGATAGTTTTAATAATTATAAATTTTCAACACACAATAATTTAAATAGGATATTCAACTACTTTTAAATTGACTGATTGAACATGAGAGGAGTGGGATTACTGCAGGAATGTTTTAATTTTCACTTTTCTATTTTGTTATTGAAGCTCTTTGATGTTTTCGGTTCATTGGAAATATAGCAGCCACTCAATGCTTCAGCATTTATTGGAAAGCAATAAGCATCGCATTTTTGTGTTAATTATACTGCATGATTAAGTTGCAAAACTTTTGTGTTTATGTTTCTATCACTGTCAAGTTTCCTAATGGGATGCGTACAAGTGATATAGAGTGGGTATCTCGATCCTGATTGGCTGTTGAAACGTGGCATTTGTTCTTTCCACTCTATTTCCAGTAAGCCAAACCCGTCAAATACCAATTCTCTTAACTGACACAGCCTATATGCTTTTCTTTCACAATATATTTACACAAATACTTAACACAAAGACAGGCACAAAACCATGCAGAACATAAACATACTTATCATGCATCGAAGTTGCCAGGCACTAAAAACAAAAATATATTACGGTATTATTGTAACCGTAATATATTTTTGTTTTGAGTACTTGGCAACTTCGATGCATAATAAGTATGTTTATTTTCTGCATGGCTTTGTGCCTGTATTTGTGTAAATATATTGTGAAAGAATTGAAATCTTTGTGAAAGAAAAGCATTAATGGTGTCACAATAATTACGGTGACAATTGGCTCGCCATCTGTGGCATTTTGAGGATTAGTAAGATTTTACAAATCAAAATCGTAGAAAATTTGCTTTCGCATAGAGTTGATGGTCAGTGGGGTCCCGAGAAGATGGGCCGTCTTGAGGAAAAACCTTTTATGTCCAGCTTGAAATTCATTTTTCTCTGAATCAGCTTTGATGGACATAAACCGTTCTTTTCCCTCGATCCCTCTTTATTGTTTTAAATAAAAGAGAGAAAGAAACTTACCAGTTGGTTTATTCCACATGTCAGATTCATAAGCATAAAGAACTTTATGATCTGGTGTATTCCATTTCGCATTGTAAGTAAAACAATTTCCATGCTCAGCATTGTGGTACAGTCTAAAGTGCCTGAAAAATTATTTTATATATATATATATATACACCAGATCAACGTCCACCAAACACCAGACCAGATAAGGAAGAAAACCAATAAGAGAGTTTATTCCTAGTCTGCGTTTGTACGTTAAGCTCTACAAGTATTACCCATTTGAATATATTTTTTTTAACGATTTTAATGTTTAAATACTACTTTTCTTATTGTTTATATTAACTTCTTTACCAATTATGGATTTTGCAGCTAAAATTTTCCAATTATTATTATTATCACAGTGTTTTTTTTCATAGATGGCAGCACTGAAAACGAATTTTCTTTATACATTTTTCACCAATTATTTATACGATATAATTATGTTGTATAAATAATTACTCTTAAATATAATGACAATATCTATCTACAAATTATAAAATAATATAATGAATGTGTTGTTAAGCTAAAAGCACATTCATTATATTTTGTTTTCTTAACATTTTTTGTTAACTGTTGTACTGTATTTGTAATTGTATTTTATCTAACTTAAATTTGCTCGAACATGTAATTGCATTTATAATCAAAAGATTATCATGTGTTACTATTTTGAGAACGTTGCTATTACGACATTTAATTTTCTTTTAAACAAACCTGCCAATTTCAATGCTTGTATTTCGCTGATAAGAGCTTAAACATGAAGAACAGAGTAAAAAAATTTTTAGTGAGAGCTAGGCGTAATATGTAAACATTTTAGAGGAGGATTTTTCTTTAAAAAAAAGCAAATTGATAAAGTCAAAGTTCTGGTATCGATGAATTAGCAATAGAAAAGGCTATATTATACATGCATTTACAAAACATATTTTCGCAAAATTCAGAGGAAAATTCGAAAAAATAGAAAAAAAATATTGTTATTATCTTTTACTAGGTTCTCAAACAAGTTATTACACTGTCATATTTCATCGCATTTTGTTTACATATAATGTTCTTGTATTTACTGTAATTTAATATATTAACCAGTTACTTAAAGTTTTATGTATATAATTATAATGAAAACTGTTAATATGTTTAGCCAATTTCTCAAACATCCTTGTTCCTAATCTACATCTTAATGAAATTTATATCCTTTCAATCAGCTTCAACGTCTGAAATCACTTAGTGCACAAAATATTAATGGTGAATGAAAAAGCAAGTGCCTTTACCTACCGCTCAGTTGAGTGAAGGAATTTTAATGTTTTGCTTTTAACACGATTATTTTTTTAAATCTAGAAATTTTGAAAGACATATTCATAACTTTATTTTCTAAGTTAAAGCTGAACTTCAAAATTCTACTTTAAAACTAATGAGGGCTCTGTCATCCTACTACTGGCAATAACCTCAAAAACGCCTCTCTAGAAAGTAGGCGTAACTGTAAAAAGAGAAGCCGCCTGGAAGTTTTAAATATTATTTAAATTATATTGCATTTCATTAAAAAAAATTTCACAGCTAAAATATTCGCATTTGACTCACTTTTCCCGCTCATGTATTTCAAATTTTATCAAAGTTAAATGAAATTTATATAGCGTGACCTTTCATAGAGGATGTCGTTCCCCTTTGCTGCGCTGACAAAAGAAATGTTTTTGTCAGTGATGGTCGAAACTTCTAAATAAAAAAGTGCTTTGCTGTGCTGATTGAAAGAAAAGTTTTTGTTAGTGATGGTCGAAACTTCTAAATAAAAAATTATTACTCTCGCTAAAATTCACAAAAATCGAACATTCTTCTAAGAACATTCTTTTCGAATTTTAGTTGGCGAAATTTCTGTAAAAAAAAATAAAAACAAGAATTTCGGTTTGCGTATTGTTTTACATAGAATTATCATTACTCCCCATCTATTCATATAAAAGAATGATCTTAGGATGGAAAGTAGGCGTTACTTTTCATAGTATCTAAAAGCTTCAGTGAAAAAAGTGAAGGTAGGCGTTACCTTCCAACATGAGTATGAGGGGACTATGATTCGCGAACTCGAATTGTCTCTTCTTTTGTAACAAAATGGCTAGTTTTCTTTTCTTTCTTTATATAAACAAAACTGGGTGCCTAGGCCGCGCAGCGGCCCAAATGGCTAGTTTTGCGGCCAACCAGGGTTGAAAGTAAGACGGAAATAGGGAAAAAACTGGTAGTAAAATCAATTCATTTCTAGCTGTTTTTGTGAGGAGAAAAAAAAAAAGCTTTAAATATTCTTAATTATAAACTATTTCATCAATATTTACTTTTACTCGAGTAAAAAACAGTCAAATGTATATGTTATAATGCTTTTTTAAGATAATGTTTCTTTAATAAATAATAAATTTTATAATGTTTTAAAAAAACTATTAATAAAGAAAATTGAGCAAACAAATTTTAATTTTAAATTTAGTTTCTGCAGTATTGAGAACAGTGGTTTCACGCTTCATTCACGCTTGAAGTAAATTAAATTATAGAAAATTTTTATTTTTTTGTTGTTGTTTTTTTTAAACAAATTTTCAATCCAAATTGTATAAAATTTAAAGTTTGCACATTGCAGATAAATTCTAAGGAAAAAAGACTTGTTAATTTGGTTGTCTAAAGCAGTGGTTACCAACTGCCCGCCCACGAAGTCTTTTTTTTTGTGGCCCATGAACTAAAATATATTAATTGTCATTTTTTTGTTGACAATTTCGTAAAAAATCTAAATGTGTTTAATAATTTTCTTTCACTCAAAAAAAAAAAAAAAAAAAAAAAAAACTAATTTCTTTGTTTTTGTGAAATTTAACATACTAACGGTGCAAATTTTTCTCAAGTAAAAATCTACTTTGTATTTTAATTTGTAATTCGATACTTTTGTTTTGTACAACTTGTTAAAAATCTGACAGTAATATTTAATGTTCCTTCAAACATAAAAGAGTCCTATATAAAATTTTTATAAAGTTGCGGCCCGTCATTTGACTGGTGTTTTTAATTGCGGCCCCCGGCCTCATGTAAGTCGGAAATCCCTGCTCTAAAGCTAAGGACAGATGGCGCTGGCTCTATTGGTTAAACTTCGTCATATGACTTCAGGTTACTACTTTCGATTGATTTTTACGCCTAAGCTTGAAAGAGCCCGCCATCTGATAGTATTATACTTTCATGTTATGTGCTTATATTATAATTATACGGTTATATGCTTACATTATAACGCGTTCTTTCAATTTAAATTTCAACGAAACAAGCAGCAAATGAATTTGGAAAACTTCGCAATCGTGCTACGATTCTATCCAGAAAACAACAAACAGCAATACTGTACGCTTATATAGCCAAATAAGGGATAACATTCAAAACATGGCAAACCTTACACTTTATTAATGCAGTGATGTTAATTTTCTAACGGTCTGAAATTCACGACTTGTTAGAATTTATAAATTACAGAATTTATAAATTACTTTTATGAATGGAGAAAATTACGCGTTAATTTAAACACAAATCATAGCAAAACTCTTTAGAATATTAAGCCTGTTCACACATCGCCTCGTAAGCATAACATAAGCGGAGGAATACACCGGAAGTTTTCCAAATTTTTTCCGGTTTTAAGAAGCTTGTTATTGTTTACATTCAGTCAACCATCCATGTTCAAAATTTATCATATCAATTATAAAAATGTAGTTATGAATCCACGACTTTTACAAGAAATCAATTAAAAATTTTTATATTCATTTGAATGAACATCAGATATACCCAATTGTGTATTATTGAAGTTTTAAATTCTAACGGCTCATTTCGAGAGGAACCACAGATAGAAATTTATAATAATATCGGGTCTACCTGAAAGTTCTGTGCGCGAAAGTACCAGTGCCGGATTAAGCGCACGCAGGGCCCTAGGCCATTCAAATTTATGGGGCCCTTTGATTAAATTTTTTTCTCGCATATTTTTTATTTATTCAAATATTAAAGTATTTATACATCTTTTCATTTAAGAAAGCACATTTAAAATAAAAATACATAATAATAAATTAAATTTTACTTTATTTTGTTAAATTAGAACTAAAAAATGATCATAACATTTTGAAAAAATTTGAAATTTATTAACACTTTACAGAATCAACGCTACTATAAAATTGTTATTCAAAAATCTTAAAAAAACATTGATAAATCTTATAATACATAACTTATAATAATACTTATAAATAATAACTAAAATAAGTAAAAAATAAATATGATTAACAATATGTGAAGAAAATTATCGTATTTTATTAATATATATTTGAAATTGATTTTTTATTTTTTATTTTTAAAAATCATTGTTTTTTCTAATTTTTTAAAATTTATTTTCAAAAAATCCATTTTAAGGCGGCCCCTAATAATTGGGGGCCCCAAACCATGGCCTAGTCTGGCCTAATGGGCTATCTAGCACTGGAAAGTACACGCGTGATGTAAAAGCTGCCTTTATAATAACAATAAAAAATTATAGCATTTACTCTTAAATGCATAAATACAGATAGACACAACCACATATGGAGCAAAAGAACATGCGCATATTTTACCGTAAATGAGCGAAATCGAGAGAATATCGACATTCACCGGTGAATGTCAAGAATCGCTTTGATGAATGTCTGAAATATTTATTATAGCCGATTTGATATTAATTTATTCACTGATATCATTAGAATTTATTCGAGATTTTAATATTTGCTGAGGATAGATATGGAGAAACATCAGTGTTTGGAGTACCGGTTAAATGCNTTTTTTTCATAGATGGCAGCACTGAAATCTAATTTTCCTTATACATTTTTTACTAATTATTTATATGATATAATTATGTTGTATAAATAATTACTCTTAAATATAATGACAATATCTATCTACAAATTATTAAATAATATAATGAATGTGCTATTAAGCTAAAAGCACATTTATTATATTTTGTTTTCTTAACATTTTTTGTTAACTGTTGTATTGTATTTGTAATTGCATTTTATCTAACTTAAATTTGCTCGAACATGTAATTGCATACGAGAATGAGACAAAAAAATTTTTTTTACATCAACTTTTAAACGTTGTTTTTATCATTTATAAT